TGTGAATGATAAAGCTAGTTTATTAAAAAACATATCTAATATACATAATAATACTCACATTGTAAAACAGTCTTTTCCTGTTTTACTGACCATCAGCTGCTTGGTATGTAGAAATACAAAAGGGGTTTTAGTTGCGTGATTCATGTTGAGCTATGATGCATCTGTTCCCATAATTGAGTTATTCCAGAAGAGATTAGATTTCTCAAGTCTCTGAGCTGGGGAACCCTTTCTTTGGAATTTCCTTGAGTTGGACACTGCCGGCTTTTGCCTCTCTGTGGTTTCCTTTCCTGTGTTTATGTTGACTCTTCTGAGTCATCTCAAATGATCTTTTCCCAAATAGCTGTATTAGACTTCCACTTTCTTTATAGTATTTTTATACTGTATATGCAAGAGATGCTCTATGTTTAGATTTTGCCAGGTTAACATTAAAGGCCTTTGTGTGCCTAATTTCTAGGTGATTCTTCACTGTCAGTACATATATATTCACTGTGTATGTCAGTCTTAACTCTTTTTCTTCAGATTTTATAGATTGTCTTAAATGCATTATCTTGCTGTTTGGAAGCCCTCAGCTTGGCTTTATCAGTCTAGGTGATGGCCTCAGATTTTCCCTTCAATTTCTGTCTTCAGACCCCCGTCTACTTCTTTTTCATTTTCTTTCTTCTGTGTCAGCATATTTTATTTACATTTTCAAGCCTCTGTTTTCTCTGTGCTCACCTTATTCCTCTGTTATTCCCCTCCCAAACAATAATCCTACTGTTTTCACAATTCTAACAATGATAATTCTTCTTGGTTTTGATTAGAGGTTTGCCAGAATGTACTGCCACTAAGCAGTGCATTTGGACTTAACGGGGGTATTGTTGTGTTAGGCCTGTTCATTGCCTTCTGGGTTGCCTGTCAACCAACTTTATAATTACTGGGCGACAAATGAATTGGCAACTTTTTAAATCCTAACATAAAGGCTATATTAGTCATCAGTTTTGCAAAAACCTGAGTTCTTGGAGAAACCTAAGTCCTAAGTATATGAGGTATTCCCTTTGCTTTTAGAATTCTCTTATCCGTTAATGAAAAACATAGTATTTCTTAAGTTGGAATTTTAAAATTGGAGACAGGCTTTCTTATGATTGGAATGTAACCAAGGACCAACTCTGCCCACTGCAATTTATTAGTAAAGTTTGGTTAACAGTGGTTAACCAAACCATGCACCTGCAAAGTTCAGCAATTAGAAACATTGGTTAACATATTTTAATGTATAGTTCATAGCTTCCTATTTGTTTATTTTATGAATAACTTAACTTTCAAAAAATGAATCATGAAGCCCTATAATTCTGTTTATGCAATGTAGCAGTTCTTTTTTTTTTTTTTTTTTTACTTAAACCTTGTGTGTGCCTTTTCATTTATGCCAAGTATGATTGTTTTTAATGAGTTTAAATTTGAAACAAATTGCTAAGAGGTTAACTTATCTAGTGGGAAAGAAACCTGATTACTCTGCATTTTTAAATTGTATTTTGCGTTTGAAACAATGAATTGACAGTGTGTATTTTTACATTTCTGGTCATTTATTTAACTAATATTTACAAGACACATACTGTGTGCCATGTACTATGTTAGGTGTTAAGATGCAGTGTTGAATAAAACCAGATACTTGACCTTCACAGAATTTATAACCTACTGGGGTAAGACATATTAAACATAATCAGATTAAAAGTAAAGTATTAAGGTACCAACTAAAGGTACTTGTGACCCTCTCAGGGAGGCCAGAAAAGGCTCTTCACAGAAATGGCAATTGGTCCCAAATCAGGATGAATAGATGTTAACAAGCTGACATGAGAAGAAAGAACATTTTGACCATTAGAAACGGCAGATGTTGTAAAGGCTTTGTAGTACAAGTGAGCATGGTAAAAACAGGGGACTGAAAGAAGGCCAATGTGGTTCTTCTTAGAGCAGTTGGAGATTGTTGAGGAGAGTTACATACGGTCTGACATCGGATATATATTTTAAAAAATTTTTATTCTGATGGCATTGTGGATAACTGATTAGCGAGAGGCAAGAATAGGTGTAGAGAAACCAGTTAACAGTAACTCAGCCAAGATTGCAAAAAGGGCAAGATAGTGCAAAAAAAAGGTGGTACAATGTGAAAGATAATTCGCATTTAAGATTAATAGGACTTGGAGATTCATTGTGAAGGATTAAGAGAGCTACCTCTAATGACCCTTAGGTTTGTAACTAAAAGGATTGTTCCATTCCCTGAAATATGAAACCCCCCTCTCCCACAAAAGAAGGGAAGGGTCCTATTGGAGGCCAAGAACATGAGTTTAGGTATGAATTTGAGGTGACTTTGAGCACACCCAGAAAGTAATGTCAAGCAGGAAGTTGCACATCTAGGCTTGGAGCTAAAATTAGTGATCTTAGCTGAAAGTAAAATTTTTGATTCCTCTTTGTTTAGGTGGCAGATTAAATATGCACATGTAAGAGCTCTTAAAGCTAAACAGTGTACTGTGAAAAGAAACACTGGCTTGGGACTGCCCCTTCAACTCTTAACATTTTATGACTAGGTAGAGGTGGATGAATTTTCAAAGAAGATCAAAATAGAGTGAGTAGAAAGGAAAGAAGAAAACCAGGATGTATTCTGTCTTGGAAAACCAAGGGAAGAATGTTTGAAGAAAGAAAAAGTGGTCAAAAATGTCAAATTTCCATTGGATTCAGGGGCTTTTTTTTGAAATCATTGGTGTCCTTAGTGATATCTTTTAGTAGACTGATGAGGATGAAAATCAAACTGGATTTGTGTGGCATGCAGAAGTAGAGATACTGACTTTAGACATCTCTTTCTAAAAGCTTAGCTCTCAACACAACTAAAAATGGGGTGGTCTTAGTGAACTATGTAATGAGGATGTTTGTGTATTTAGTGTCTAATGAAAATGACCCACACATGTTTAAAATAATCACTGAGAAACATATGCATTAAAAGGAAAAGAATGTCAATGCTATACTAAAGGGTTAATCCATAGTAGAAGTTCTAGGGGGGCAGAAGAGAATGGGCTCCAGATGACTGTTAAAAGATTAACCTTAGATATATGTAGCAGTATTTCTTATATTTGTGACTTTATTCATAAAGGAAAATGGGTCATGGAAGTAAATTTGCATTCATGTTAGTAGAAAAATGATGGTTCCCAACTGATAATTATTTTCTCCATGCTATTGAAAGAGAAAAGATAGGAGGGAGACAAGAGGATTTAGGAGAGTAGGCAAAAGTTTAAAACAGGCATCATAGAGTGAATTGACCAGGAGAATATTATAGGATTGTTAGGAAGAATAGGAGTCCACTTGAGGTTAATTATGATGAATTTATAGTAGACAGGATGTTGCAAGTATTTGCTGTTGGCATATGATAATGAAGAACTCAGATGTTTTTCGCATTCACGACTAAGGTTTGCTAACCAGAGGGATAGGAGTTTAAGATATTGGCAAATGTTTATCATGTATCTAAATTGCATAACGGAAGAACATAAAATGTAGCAGTCAGTGGACTGGTGGTCCTAATGAAGTCAAAGATGGTTGTGGGGGGTAGAGTTGAACAAACAGGCTGATAGAAGTTGTGATCACAGTGTGGAATATTTGAGTTAATGGTTTTAGAAATTGAATATTAGGAATGATGACAAGGTCGACAGCATGGCCACGGAAGTGGATGGCTGAGATAGAATAGATTAAGTCTTTAGAAAATAAGTAAAGGGAATATATAATTACCAGATGGGCTATTCAAGTGGATATTTAAGTCACTCAGAATGATGGCAGAACTTAGGGTTCTTGCCAATATCTTCAATGAATAAGGGAGTGAATGACATGAAGGGTAAGAGAAGATATTATCACTAACAGGATGATGTTGATAATGCTATTTTGGCAAGAAGAATTTGAGGAATTGTGTGTGCCAGGTCCTGTTGCAGGTCATTGAAAATGCTACATAAATATTACATATACATACTATACAAATATTACAAGACTTCGTTTTCTAGGAGCTCACTGTCTATAGAAAAAGTCAGCCACATGAGCAGTTAGTGACAATGCAATGAGGTAAGTGCTTTAATAACAGAATCTGTAAAGTATAGTGGCACCCTAGCGGTTATCTCTAACTTAAGAAGTCATTGGAGGTTTCACTCGAAGGACTAATCGGAACTGAATTTTATGTAGTTCCTAAAGTGAAGAAGGGAAAGGACATTTCAGGAGTAATTTTAAGATGTATGCCTCGTAACTGTGATAGGCAAAACATAAACTCAGTGATTACATGCCATTGTACTGAATGCTATTATAATCAATAGTTTTTTTATAACTAGAATTTCCATTTCTTGGCCTGTAGCTCTGCTTTTTGTTCTTAAACATTGCTCTCTAGTAGGATGATTTAAAGTGTATATTTGTATGTGTCTGCATGTGTGTTTGTGTGTGAACATTTATGTTTACATGCACACATGCTTACACAATATGCCCTTGTGTTTGTGGAGCTTCTTTTAAAGTTATACTTGAAATAATTTATTACTAAAAATAATGAAAGGTTGGTTTTATAAATAAGTAAAATAAATTGTTAATTAAAGGCTAACTAATTAAAACCCTCATTCAGCAAATTTTTACCATTATGAGTGAGGCTTTGTTTTAAACCGTAAGAATATAAAAAATGAATATGATAGGCTCTGATTTCAGGGAACTCACAGTTTTTTATGTTTCAAGCCTAGCAAGGTGTAAGTGTAACATCAAATAACTTATCTCTGGCAATACTGTGACTTTTTAAAAAAATTATAACTTGTTTTTCTTAAGCCCTCAGACACATTTTTAGACTGATGATTTATTCCTTCACTATTTATGGAAGAGGTTTGATTTTATCAAGCCAGGAATATAGGTTGACCAAAAGGGTAGTTAAAGTGGTAGACTAGGTCTATAATATTAAGACTGAAAATAAAATGTGTTTGTTCCTGAAGTAAGTGCCTTTCTTCTAATTATGGCTTTATTTTTCAAAGGTTGTGAAGATGAGAAAAGAAGTGAAGAGAATTCGAGTTTTGGTCATCCGAAAACTTGTCAGGAGTGTTGGCAGACTGAAGTCAAAAAAGTTAGTCATGTAAAGCAGTGACCTTGTGACTAATTAAATATCAAAGTTGTTTTTATTTGGTACTTCAAAATTTTTAGCGTTGAATATAGAGAAGTAATTGTCTTACTCACACGGCATTTTTGTTTTATATGTAGAGATTACGTGAGTGAGATAGAATGTGCTGTGTCAGCATGCCCTTCTGTGGATTGGACTATCATTGCTTAAGATTCAGGATGAATTTTTCTGCTGCTTTTGTAAAATTCTCCTTTTTGGTCTTTTCAGAATGAAATTTTCTTGGGCTTACGTGTTTTATGTTATTAGAAGTTATTTTAAGATACTGATACAGCTTAACAAATCTAGTAATATACCTTAAGAATCAGTTTTGAAGATTTTATGTCAGATTTTTTTCTTCAGTTGCTGAGTGAATTGAAATCTTCAGTACCTTGTAAAAGTGTTTATTAGAACATTATGTTTCACATAATTTTTTAGAAAAATATAATTTGTATTTTCAATATCGCTAGTGTTAGTAAAAAAAAGTATTTTATTTATAGTTCTTATGATTTAAACATGAATGCTTAGCCTTCATATATGTTTTGTTCCAGATTAATTTCCTATTCTTTCATAAATATGTCAGAATTTAGCCCTCCTTTATTTTTTCCTTAAATTCCAGATAGCAAATTTTCATTTGGTAAAACTATATCCAACCTCTAAATATAGCTTATGAAATTTATATTACATTAAATATAATTACTAATGATTGATTGATTGACTAGGAAAACTGTTATTAAGGAACTAGAGAAAGCAAACTATCAAAAGTAATAGTCATTAATACAATGCCAAGGCAGTACTTATTTTTGCCAGTTTCTAACATATGGGTTTGGTTATGAAATCAAGGTATGTTTTGGGAGTGAGGGAAATGGGGAGTGTAGCATAGTGGAGTGTTTGTTACTTAGAGATTTATTATGCTTTTCTGAAAGAAATGAAATGATTATCCTTTGTGATATGAGCCTAAAATTAATGCTTTGCCTGGCTACATACCGTAATGTATTTTTTGCAGGGGTACTGAAGATGCACTGTTAAAAAACCAAAGACGGGCACAACGATTGCTTGAAGAAATCCATGCCATGAAGGTAAGGACTTGTGTGGGTGTGTATGTGCATATGTTTTTGAGTATCTATCATCCTGCATTTTGTTTGTGTGTGTGGTATTGCTTATTTGAATATTCCTGAGAGTTGCCTAAGACATCTTGTATCAGCCCGTCTGGTGAAGAATGTAGCACATTTAGAAAATTGTAATGTTTAAGCTTACATTTTTCCATGTTTTTGACTGAATTTGTTAAAATGCTAGGCTAATTGGAGTCAAAACTCTGCCAAACTAAATTCATCTATGTTTAGTAATGCCTCATGCCTCAAATTTTCATTTTTACTGTAACTTTAGCATGAAGTCAGTTCAGGAATTAAAGTCTTCACACAATTTGGGAGTGTAGATGGTGATATTGGTGGCTGACATCATGCTTTCCTTGTTGCCAACTCATTAAATTTTTATGTAGTGGTGTCAGCATTTTATTCAGTTCTGTAGTAACTTCAAATAAAATAAGTGTTAGAGCAACATGTTCCCATATTTTCATTTTCTTGAGTCAGACCCTTCACTAGCATAATTTTTAGGTCTTCTCACTGCTCTAACTTTGTGGAAACTTTCATTTACCAAATGACATGACATTAAATGTCTGGGAGACTGTTTTACTGTAGAACTTAAAAACAACATTTGGTACCAGCAATTTTCTTAATTGCAGGGTCATTTTGCATGCATGTTTGCCTATTACATTTTGATATAACTTTCCATGTTTTGATTTAGGTAAAAGAGAAAGAAAGCTCTCTAACAATACTTTAATTGAGTTAGGTTATCGAAGCTTCTCACCATTTCTTCTTTTTAAAGTGGTAGTAAAGTGTTTAATAGGACAAAGTTATCCCAGTTAATCTGAATAAAAACGTCTAGGAAATGAGTCTTTAATATGAAGTATATTTGTTTCTTGTGTTCATCCTTCACCCCTGAACACTATTACAGAATTCATGGAATCCATCTGATACAACTTTTCTTTCTCAAAGTTGTAATCTCCTTTTTATCCAGTCATTCAGGAAAAAAAGTATTTTGTATTTGACTGCTAACGATCATTTGTGTCTCTGTAGTTTGTAGATTATTTTGGCTTTTTCATATACTTTTTGTAAATGATATTCCTATGAGAAATAAAATCTTTAGAGAATAGCAATAAGATAGGAAGTTACAATTTATGTCTTTCACTTTCTCTTAACCAAGGTTCTTACTAAATTACATTGCCTACCTAAATTTTTCCCTGTAATTTCTCCTGAATAGTCATTTTTGGAGTCTTAAATTATTCAGAGGCTTTCAGCTACTATATAATTGCTGATTTTATTTTACCATGGAAAGAATGCAGTGTGTGTGTGTGTGTGTGTGTGTGTGTGTACATACATATATATACACACACACACACAATATATAGTTGGCTACTCTGACTTTAACTTCTTTTGTAATACTGTTTAAAAACTGGAATAAACAAATTTATACACACACACACACACACACACTCTACATTCTTTCCATGGTTTATTGTATATAATAAACTTGTATGCAGTGTATGAAGAGTTTGCAAGCAAAAGATATTCAATCTTTAGAATAATTCCCTTTTGTAAATTTTGATAATGAATTTGATTAAATAGAAATGTTTTCATTTTTTATCTAAATGTAAAATCTGTTTTCTGTTTCTGTTTTTGAATCTCATTAGCAAAGGGAAATCTGATTCAGTGAGAAAGTTTTTATGTTTACAAGATTACTACAGGTTTGGTTTGATTTGTGTTCTATTTTTCCCTGTGATTATATAAGCTCACTCTGGAATTCTTGCACCATAGAAAGCCAAATTCATAGCCTAGGTATTCCTGGAATTCATAAAATTCATAGTATGTATATGTCTTGAGTTTGTGGTAGGAGTTTAGGGTATGCTGAGTTGGCTGCTCTGACTTCAGCTTCTTTTGTAATGCCTTTTAAAAACTGGAATAAATTTAAATATAAAAAGAGTACTAGAAAGGCTATATATTTGCTTTCTTTAGGTGTTCAATTTCATTCCTCATTTATGGTTCTTTTACAAATTTTGTTATCTTTTCTAAACAAAGCAAATACATAACAGCATTTTTCTTAACTAAAAGGTCGTTTGTAATTTTCTTAGGAAGTGATTATTACCTACTTGGGAGTATCAAAGAAATCATGACAAAACAAACTCTCAGTCTCAATTAAATTTGGAGAAAAAAACCTCTACTTATTTATTTTCCCAGAGAAATTTTTTCCTTGGCTCAGATACCACTACATTTTTATAGTCTTATTGATGACATACTGTCCTATTCTTGCTTTCTATAATAATAGGGTATATTGTTGCAGGATGAGTTCTTTGTGAAGAAAACCTGAGTATTTTTAGAAATGGGAGTTTGTTTTTTTCTGGCCAACCAAGAAAAAAAAATTGGCCTGATCTTTATGATACTATAAAATCATAGGTTCTAATTTTATAGACTGTGGTGTATGAAACCCAAGTCTTTGCTGCCCTTTTAATAGTGTCCATACTTTTAACTTTGATATTAGTATAAATACTGGCTTCTGAAACAGTTTCTTTTTCTTTGAAAGTTAAAGTTAAATTAACCTATCAATATTTACAGATCGGTAAGTTACAGCTGGAGAAGGAAATGTAAAATTCAGGCATATATTGAAATTACTCAAAATGTGCAACAAATCTCTTACTCGATAATAATGGTAATAACTAGCTTTTACTGAGCATTTACTATGTGCCTAGCAGTATATTATGTGTTTTATATTTACTGTCTCACTAGGTAGATATCATTTTTATTTCTATCTTACAGAATATCAAACTAAAGCTTGGAGAAATAAAGCAACTTATAACTGACTATAAAGCTAATTATGTTATCCACTTTAGTTTACTGCTTCTGTAAGTTGTGAACATCCTATGATATATCCAGACTCACTTTCCTAGATATTGGAGGAGATAATTTAATAAACATGAAACTTGCCATCTAGGGAAAAGAAGGGCCCAACGATGTGCAACATATTTTCAGATCCTTTAATTCTTCACAGCTAAATATATACAGTAACCTATATTTGTATTCTTTTTTTTTTTTTTTTGATGCAGTCTAACCTCTGGAGTTCAGTTGTCATGCAATCTTGCTCACTGTAACCTCTGATTCCTTGATTAAAACAATTCTGCCACAGCCTCCTGAGTAGTTGGGACTACAGGCAGCTGCCACCACGCCCAGCTAACTTTTGTATTTTTAGTACAAAAATACATGTTTATTTGCCATGTTGCCCAGGCTGATCTCAAACACCTAACCTCAGGTGATCCACTCACCTCAGCCTCCCAAAGTGCTGGGAATACTAGTGTGAACCACCACGCCCAGCCTAACTGTATTCTTTTTTAATCTCTTCCTCTCTAAGGTTGTTACTTCTTCCTATGTTAAATATTCTTTAAAATGAAAATTTTTGTATTCTCCTTTGAGACCTTGTTCTGCCTGCTACCTCTTACCTCTCCTCTAATTTAAAATTCTTTCGCCTTTTGTTTTATTCTTCCCCTAGTTTTACATTCTGAAATCTATTATTAAAACCATCTGGCCAGGTGAACTGGCTCAAGCCTATAATCCCAGAATTTTGGGAGGCCAAGGTGGGTGGATCACAAGGTCAGAATTTCAAGACCAGCCTGGCCAAGACGATGAAACCCTGTCTCTACTAAAAACACAAAAATTAACCGGGCATGGCAGCAGGTGCCTGTAATCCCAGCTACTCGGGAGGCTGAGGCAGGAGAATTGCTTGAACCCAGGCAGCAGAGGTTGCAGCGAGCCAAGAGCATGCCACTCCGCTACAGACTGGACGATAGAGAGTCTCAAAGAAAAACAAAAATCCTTTGAACTTATATTCAGCAGTTAGGATCACTTTGTTTCAGGCTTCTGCACAGCTTGACCCTAAATGGTTGTCTTTAGTAGATCACAAATAGAAAAAATAGTATAGATTATAATCTGTAAAGGCATTAAAGTTAAATGATACATCTTCAAAATAATATAATAACCATATCATATCATTTGAACCTCACCACAACTCTAGGGAGAATCCCATTTCAGAAGACATGTTCGGAAGTATTCTAGGCTGCATTAACCCTTGGATTAGAGGTTTATCATCGTATATATTCATATACTGTTTAGAATTTTGTGATATGTCTGGTTTATATGGTTTTTTTAAAAGTTATTGAGTTTTTTTTCTGTAGTTTCACATACTGTGATTTTGGTAAGTTTTCTTCCTATGAATGCTAAAACAAGTTTCTCCATAGGGTAAAAGAAACTTTATTATAGCCTATGAGTACACTGTACTGTGTTAATTAGCTATGTCAATGTAACATTTTGTTCGTTTATTCTATGAAAGTAGTTGTATTAAAAGTATCTTTAATCTTACACTATAATTATTTCTGACAGTTTTATTTGTGAGCCAGTACAAATAATCATGTTATCAAATCAGATTCAACATGTTAGATATCTTACCTAGAATCAGCTTTACTAATAACTGTAAGAATGCAAGTAGTCAAATGGAACAGGTGAAGTAAGGAGAGCCATCTGGGATTCTTATGTAATTCCACAGGTCCTTCCTTTCCCCATCAGACATGTACTTTCCAGCCCAGAGTGTCCAAATGAGGAAGTCTGGTTATTACCTCATATCAGGACATTTACATTTTGAAACTTCTCCATTTAACATCCCAAGGTTATATAGCTTGCATGATATTCTCCATTGTGCCAGGCTTCATAAACCCATAGATTTTGGGTTTGTTTATTGTAAGCATTATTAGCAAGGGACAGCCTACTAAGAGCATTCTTCAGATAAGGACCTTCCTCCTAACAAAAACTCATTATCTCATCTACCAGAGGGACCACTTATCAGCATATTAAGGGGAAGACTAAACTGGATCACCTCCCTTTCCTAGAGTTTCCTCCTGGTTAAGGAAGTGAATAGATCCCAGGATAGCTACTTTAATTATTCCCTCCCTGATGTGTAATAATCTTTCTTTTAGCTTTCT